GCCTGCGGCACCTACCGGGGGCCCGACGGTGGGTCCGGGCGGCACGGGGGGAACCGCGCCCCGCGAGGGGACGGGGCCGCCGCCTGCGGCACCTACCGGGGGCCCGACGGTGGGTCCGGGCGGCACGGGGGGAACCGCGCCCCGCGAGGGGACGGGGCCCGGCACCCCCTGTGCCGCGGGGGCTGGTCCCCAAGCTGCCCCCCAGCCGCCCCCAGCGCCTCAGCCCACCTCGGAACCAGGCCCGACGCAGGCCCCGCTGGACGACACCCGCTTCCTGATCGCCAGCACCAACTGGTACTAACGGCACTTCATCGTTTCCCCCCGGACCCCTGCCTAGGAGCCGCATCCATCTCCTCCACGGAGAGAGAGAAGCCTCTGCCTCCCTCTTCTATTTCTCAATAAAGAAGGTTGACCAGCAGCAACCTGTGAAGCATGGGTTTTATTTTCCCGCCTTAAACCTGAGGAGCAGGACCGTGTGCCTCAAAGAGCTGGTTGAGCCGCTCGGCCTCCCGCCAGCCTGAGAGCAGGGCCCCATGGGTGGTGGAGTAGAAGGTGCGGTGGGTGGCCTCTCCGGCAAAGAGGAGCTGCAGAGGCTGTGGGCAAGACAGGAGGTGAGCACTGGGGGGGGTGCTGCCTCTCCCACCCCAGTGAAGACACCGGGTCACGCTAAACCAGCCTCGTCTCTGCTGTTTTGCACCACGCAGCTGCATGACCCACTCTGCAGCCTTGCAGAGACCAAAGAGCAGGCACCTTCCCTTCCTTAGAGACTCACCCCCTGCCATGAGGATGCTGGGAAGAAGTTGGAAGGAGCTACGTGTCCCCAGATTTATGAAAATGGCATCCCCTCCACCCCCATGGAGCTCAGCCGGAAGAGTCAAGGGGTGTTGGTTGCTGATCTGAGCATTGGTGACCCCTGAATGGAGCAGGAGTGGGAAATGCCACCTCCCTGTGCTCCTGAAGGCCTGAGGTGCCCTGTCCGTCTGTCCCCATGCCCAGGAGATCCCACTCACCCCACCGTCACGTAAAGCAATTACCCTGGGGTCCTTGGGGTCCTCGGGCAGGGGCTGAGCCAGCATATCGATGTCATCCCCTGAGCTGCCCACGGCCACGTAGCTGTAGGAGCCCCGGGTGTAGGGAGCGCTGTGCCACTGGGACCTGAGCACCCTCCTGGGAGCGGGCAGGTGCAGATTCCCTGCCGGTGTGGATTTTGGCTGGGATCTAGAAATCTGAGGGCACATTTCCCTAGGTGGGGGGTGTTGGGGTGATGAGGGCAGCAGAGGCGGTGGTACCTGTCAGCGTGCGGAGGAGGTGTGTCATGGTGCCAAGAACCTCTTCATCGCTCAGCGTCTCCATGTACTCTGACTCCTTCCCTGCGATGAATCCGCAGAGGACGTGCCCATGCCTGGGGAGGAAACACGGGGCTGAGAGCTGCCTGCTGCCCTCCCACTGCTCACCAGGCATTGTCCTCTCCCTGCCTCATGGGCCACCAATGACCCAGAGAAGATCATGAAGCTCCAGATATGACCAAGATACTCTTTCACATTGCCCAGATATCTGAACACCCCCAAATCATGATGGCACCTTCGCTGACGGCCCCAGCCACGTACTGATCTGGTGGTTGGAGGATCACAAAGCCAATGAGCTTCTTGAACCAGCTGGCTTCCAGATTGGTGCTGGGCTCCTCCAGGGGCGACTCATCCTCCCACACCACTTCAAGGAGCTGCTGCTGGGGATCCCAGAAAGGCTTCTCAAACTCCAGGAAGATCTTGTTGTTGGTGCCAAAACCCAGGCGGCGAATGGCCTCGGCCTTCTGCTGGGGCAAGGGAGGCTGGAAGAAGTCCTGGTGGCATTCCTTGAGGAAACCTGCAGGCAGAAGGTCGGGCAGCTCTGTTCACTGGGCTCCTAAATAGGCTCTGAGATGCTTCTCCCCATTCCAAATGCCTTCCCAGCCGGGGAATCCCAGTGGGAGAGGGGAGGCTAGGAAAGGGTTTGGGCAAGTCCCTGCCCTTCATCTGCCCATCTCCAACTGGTTGGAGGGAACAGGCAGGTGTTGGTGTCCGCACCCAGTGGGACAGTGATGATGACGTGGTCAGCAAGGAAGGCATCTCCATCCTCACACTCCACGCGGACAGGGAAATCCCTGGTCTTGTCCCCTTCATCGCAGAAGGACCCTCTCCACCGGATGGTCCTCACTGCCTTGTTCAGCAGGACGGTGCCCTCCGGCAGAGCCGAGAGTATGCGATCAGGCAAGCTGCTGTAGCCACTGCGGAAGGAGATGCTGCTGGGGAGGGGGTGCCCTTCAAGCCCCTTTTCTTTGCCCCCCTCCGGAGTCCCATGCTTACCCTGGGAAGGTGCAGTCCAGGCCGGGCAGGGAGACATACTCCCCAAAGGGCTCCAGGGCCACCAGGTCCATGCTGTGGGTCCCACTGATGCAACACTCCAGCTTGAGGCAGGTGGCGAGGATGGCCAGCTGGAGCCGCCGGGCGTCCTCCCGGCCACCCCCCAAAGCGGAGACCCTCTGGGCGATCTCCCCCCGCAGGTACTGCCCCACGCTGGGGGCTGGCAGCTCCCTGGCCCCCTGAAAAGCCCGGGCGGAGTCCAGTAGGGTGTCAAAGAGGTGGTGGGCTTCACTCACGTCAGTGGGGCTCAGCACCTTCCCTGAGCTGCCATAGGTGACAGAGGGCATCGAGGGGTGCCCCCCCACCTCCACCTGCTGGTTCTCCTCCCGAGCGGCCTCCGGGCCCAGCAGGCCGTAGCTGGTGGCCAGCCGGAAGACGGGGTTGCCTGGTGAGGGGCCGTGGATCCAATGGGCCCCCATCTCTGCCAGCCCCGACGCTGTGGGGAGGGGAGGAGAGGGGAGGAGAGGGTCACCCCAAGGCACGGCAGGCCCCCCCAGCCACACGTGCCCCTACAAACCCAGCGGGCCCCCCCCCGCCCTGCTCCCCCCAGCTCCGGCTGTGACCCGCTGCGCCCAGGGAACCGACGGCCGCCAGCCCCGCGTCCATCCCACTCGGGACTGGCCCCACGGGGGCAGTTCGGGTGCCATCTTGTCCCGGCGCACCCGCACCCCGACCGG